AAATGCTCTGCCCAGCGACCCAATCGCCTGTGAAGGCTCTTGGTATTTGTGCTGTCTGATTGACGAAGCCTTTTTTGATACTCCTTCTTCACCATTGGGTCCTCCAACTTTTAGGTGTTCAGTTCGGTGTGTTTTGACCTAGGCGAACCACCGAAACGCATGCAAACGGTCGCACGCACCAGTGCATGATCCGTATCGACGCACGTTCACAAAAGTGATCGGCAGTCGCGTACGCTGCCGCGCCACCTGCGACTTATTGCTATGTGGTCAATCTGTGACCAACGCTGGGTCGATAATGGATGGCGCCAAGTGGCGTAATAGCTTGCAGGATGACGAAAGCTGGCGTTGGAGCGGAATAGTTGATGATCAGCACACAGACTGAGCAGTCTCTCTCCGTTGTCTGAGCGAACATCATCATATCCATGTGGTCCCCCGAGGCGGCGCTCACATGGCAGCAGACGACCGACACGCGCGTTGAAGTCTCCTGCCAAAACAATGATGTCTGTTTTAGGAGCCCTTAGGAGCAGCTCATGAAGGTTCTGGTAGAACTGGTCTTTGACGATGTCCGAGCTGCAGTCAGTGGGCACGTAGGCCGAGATCACGAAGAGAGCACGCTTTTCGAATCGACGTCTGCTAACTTTACAAGATCCATGGAGCGTCATCGCACAAAGGCGGCTATTGATCGGAATCCAATCAATCAAAGCAGTCTCGGCTCTAGCACTGAGGGCGATTCCAACACCAGCTTGCCCAGATGCGACAGACTCGGTGTCAGCAGAGAAGCGGAGATGGAATAGAGTGCGTGGGTGGAGCGGTGAAACCAGCTGGTAGACCGAGTTAGAGTCCTGGAGTCGTGTTTCATTCAGGCAGCAGATGTCAATTCCAAGGGTCTCTAGCGTGCGTGCAGGTCCAGCTTGCTGACCGATCTGCAGTAATGTGTGTACGTTGAAGGCAGCAAGTTTGAACTGCGTTCCGGGTTGCAGGAGCGAAGATGGGCGACTTTGGGACCGGCAGCTCTCTCTTGAACAGTTTGTGGTTGAGTTGGCAGATGTCGCCGTAACATGTTCAAGTAGGGGTTGACTTATTGGGCCCCACCCCGAGCCTTTGATCAAGAATCTAAACTACAAGGCAGTAGGGCGATATGAGTGTATCACAACCCGTTGGGAGCCGGTGACCAAACAAGTGGTTCATGCGCATTTAGGACCGTATAGGACCAGGGGTCCAACCCACCCATGAATTACAATGGCAGTCAGAGAGGCAAGGGGCAGTGACTTTATTTAGTGGCGAGTCACATCCGCCACGTCACAGTGTTGTTAAACGGACATATGTGGCTCTTTATAGGGAGAACTCTTGTCAGGCGAAAACCCACCACCTCCTGAAATACTGCCGCCGAACCATTCGCTGGAACTTGATAATCCCGAACCACCCAGCTAGCACCACATGGTGGTTGTTCGGCAAGCCAGCCTAAAGCTACCTGGAGCGAAAACGTTGCACTCGTAATCTTTGACATTCGCAGCAGGGTAAAACTTCTTTTGCAGTGTGCACAAATGGAGCTAGTTTATGGCACAACGCTAAAGTTGCCGGGAAAATTTATTTTGTCTCCCGGATCGTCCAGCATGTCTCCGATAAACGTTGCTTCCGCCCTAGCTCAACGCGTGCGTTCACTACGCCCGACTCCGTCTCGTGTGCAGACCAGAGATGGGCAAATACACTGCGGACTCTCTACCTGAACTCATGTCTTCTTCCGCAACGATGTAGTGAGACCTTCTCTCCAATCGCCCATTCAGAGTCTTACAAAGGAATCCAAACCATTTCAATTTAGATCAGAAAGCTCAGCGAACAACGGTGTCCATCGACTGCATCAAAGTGGCTTACGTTGTTGAACAACATGCAAGCAGTCCTGATGTCAGTGCACATGCACCCGCGTCTGCGGTGACTTCCTGAACAGCGGATAACGCGAAACGCTCCGTTCTCCTTGGACCTCCACCTACTCCGCATCAACCCCAGGAAACCGACCGATGAGGTAGACAGGTCAAACGATCGGACCGTTTTGCAAATTTGGTAAACCTTTGCTATTTCCATTAACACGGATGTCTTTCGGCATAAGTGGTACTCGTGCGTTTCACCCATTAGCGTTTTATCAATCGACATCACATTTGGAGAAAACCTAGAAAGCGTATTTGCTTTTATCATACATGTCATCTTTCCTCTCCGACGTCAAACTACCTTTTCCCACGCTTGCCCACCTCCTCTAGTGCTAACTTTCAGAAACCTAACCAACTGAAATGCCAAGGCAACTGTTGAGTGACTTGCCAACCGGCATAGTGCTCCTTCCTGACTGTATGGACTCCCAGTCGCACTAGACCACGGACGGCAACGAACGGATTGATCACCAAACGTCTGGTTACACGTTGCCGACGAAGACGCCCGGATTTCTTCGTGGGACGAGGACTGTGAACTGGATTGCGTTGGGGGCGTGGCAACTCCCAAGCACACCGTCGGGTCTGCAGCGGAGGAGGTGTCCTGTCCGCTATTTTTCTGGACTAGCCAGTTTGTTTTGCAGTCCGCCGAGCACGCCCGGACGACCCACCGATGATGCACGCTGGTCCACATGAACATCACAAATGTCAACTGACAGAATGATGTACCCAGCAATTTCCGCTACACACCCGATCTTGGAAGCCCGTGTTCAAGCCATATGTGTAATCATCCTCCCCTCTAGTTCACTCCCACTTTCAGCTTCATCGAAGGTCTCCATCGTTCAGCTTTCTAGGGGAAGGTTCTGGTAGTGCACCTGGAAACACACACTTTCAGTATTTTACAACGTTGGTTTACTGTTGCTTGAAACTTCACAACGTCCATTTGTTTTCCTGACTGCGCTACCGTTTTCAGGAACTGCTTTCTTGTGTCCCGTGTTGTGCCGTTCCTTACCCTTGTTGATTCACTTCCTACTCTTGTAGCTTGTACTACCTTGGGTCCAGCTGCCTCCATTTTCTCTACTCTCCCGTATTTGACGCGCCTCGTACGTTTCATTGTTACCGACTAGTATCCAAGGCGTCACCCAACAAACGTGATGTACTTGCGCATGCATCCTTATATACCGCTCCAGACTTGACAGAGAGAGTCGAATATCTCCTCTTGCTGTGATATCCAATCTGTTCCTACACTCGGTCAGAGAAACCACTATGTGTTGATGGAAATCAAGGAAATATATCTCAGTTACTTTGCTCCAGCCTGGGATGTCTGTTAGAGAAATCCGTCATGATCCAAAATCCATTTTATATTGCGTGAACTTGCATTATGCCAGTGTGTCATTTTGAAAATCATTGCTGGATTTTAACTCCAACATTGCAGAGTTGTATATCAAACGGATCTAAAATCCAAATCTGCATTTCTATGTCATTAAATCTGAATGCCTGTCTTTCATTTCTTCTCAGAGTTGTTCTAAATGATTAGCGTAAACAATCAAGTCTTCATCCTCCTGCTCTTCCTTGACTGTAGCGAGAATTGGGAACTGTGAAAATTCCCGACGTCTGATATTTCGAGCACAAACTAACAGCATGTTAAGAAAAGCGACAATGGGCTCTTTGCTTGAGATGGGATTTCTCGTTGCATTAAGTTCAGTGCACTAAGTTCAGTTTTCAAATGCATCTGCCTGATAAATCACGTCTGGCCTAAATGTTAACACTTTCTTAATCAACTTCAGAAAGGGATGTGATGATGTTGTTCTAGAGTGAAATAAAATGGCGAGGACAGTTACCTTTGAAAGAACCATCTAAGTTCCGTATGTAACAGTAGAACCTGCACATCTTCACTGTTCACCTTACACAACTGCTAGAAAATATATCCTTGAAGAGGGCGCGATTTGACATTGTTGACTACTATTATAACAGTTGACAATGAATTGTTCACTTGCACCCCTAATTTCTTAGTCACTAGGCACTCTTGCTGAAACACACAGTGAATTGTATGAACATAAGGTGAACATTTTTTAGATGGGTTACGAACCCTTTATATCTCCCGAACACTACAGCTGCATCTACTTTTGCACCTGCAACTTTGTTCCGCATTTGCATGGAGTTTCCAGTCAGATAACCATTTCATATCCCGAATTCAGGCTGGAACTTTGTATGAGTTTTAATTATCTTGTCAAACAACATCTCTTCCATAAATTCATTATTATTCAAAGTCAGATTTACGCCACGAGAATTGCGTCGTTAATAAGGGGCAAACAGCGCACATTGCCTTGGCCTTGAATTTGACATATGACATGCCTTGATCACGTGCTTCCTAATGCGACAGTCTGATTGATCAAACGATTGATTTACTTTTCATACTGCCTGGTTAATGAGTTGATTGCTTTCTGTCCAAGCGTCTACGAGCTATGTTCTCTCCAATATCTTGCTTCATAATCGTATACGCCCGATGAGAATTATCGAAAAGTATATTCTTCGCGCATTTGCTTACTTCTGACTCAAATGAGGATAATCTATTAACTGAAAAATTGCAAGCAACCCAAAGCGTTTAGTGACCTCGACATGTGCTTGAGGTTTAACGCTAGGCTCGCTGATGCGAAGACTGAGATCCGTTTCATCCAAGATTGTATAGAATGTAACCAGTATCCCAAGAGATATTGTGAATAGCTCCGACAAATCCGCATTCGTCCAAATGCAAAGTCTGTCAAAAGATATGCTCATAATCTGCTGGAAGCCATCCAATCTCGACTCTCTGAACTGGAACGATTGCGTGCCCTCTACTCGTTGGTGGTCGACGATCTCAGCAATGATCACTACGAGCCTTTCAATTACTATTTGCAAGAAAAATGCAAAAAGGCAAAAAAGAGAGGAGATGAATAAGTTACTCAAAAGCTTAGAACCTTGCTCACCTGAAACAAATTTTCCGCCAATTCCCGTTAGGTATGTGCATAATCTCTTTAGCCGGCAACTCAACCAGCTACATTTAGAAGCATTGGCACTTGGGCCAAAATTCTGTCTCTCCCAGCCGAAATGCTAGCAAATTCATATGGAGACCCAGTTTGAGAATTTAATGCACCAGGTAGTTGATTTAACACCTTTAGCTTCACTCGCACTTGATATGTTCAAGACCACGTTGATACATCTTGCTTATCAGTATCGGAACTCTTAGTCTTAATCATTTAACATCTTAACTAAAAGCACCGTGACGCAATCAAGGAGTTGTTATTCAACCCAGAACTAATCCTTTGCTGACCAGACAAAGGATCTGGCTGGGTATTGATGAACAAGTCTGATTACATCTCTAAATTGACAACAATTCTGTGTGACAACAACAAATCCCGACCAGATGCAATCCAAAAGAGACCACTTGGTAAGTGGGAGCAAAAAGCATTGGCATTTTGAAAGAATTAAGAATGTCGAAGCACCTAGACGATGCACTCTTCTCAAAGGTGACCCAATGAGACTCATACACTCCGCCACTCTATGATTTGTCAAGAGTGCACAAAGCAAACCTTCCTGTGTCATGATGACCGACTGCTTTGATGAGCTTCCCGCGGGACTTAGCTGTGATACCGCCGGCGGATATACAACCCGTTCATGAGGACGGACCGACTTTATCAACTTTCCACGTGAATTGCCTCAGGCCCACTTTACGTCTCTAAACCGTGTCACGTTCCTTGGTTGCGTCCTCCAAACACCTCACCTTTGTAAACGAGTCTGCTTGAGTACCGTTCGAACTAGACATTTTTCGTAGCTTTCCGCCTTGGGATCGACTTTTGCCCATCACGGTCGTCTATGCTTTCGGGTCGACCTGCATTGTGTGTCATTAACACTTAAGTGCTCGAAGCTCGGCGATGGATCAAAGTACTAGACGACCGTATGCAGCTTCAAAACGAACTCGACGAGATGTACGGATGGTTAAACTACTATGGTCTGCAATTAAAACCAACTAAATATAGAGTGCTCCATCTTCGACACAAAACAATTCAAGCCTATATGCTGGGTGCTCACGGTCTCTAGTTTTGTTCTCATAAGGAAGATCCCGATGTGCTGGTCCAGGGAGACTTTGGCTGAGTAAGCAATCTGAAATAGCCTAAAAATTGACGGGTGAAATCTGGGGCTCTCAAAGAGAGAGTTTGTTCAATTCCACTCATCTCCCCAACTCCTTACCTAGTACATACGCCCGCACATGAAATATGCGATTCAGTCATTACAACAAATGCAAAACGTGCTCTCAGTCTTTGAGATTCCACAAAGCTAAGCCCAAAATATTTAAAGGTGTGTACAACCAGGGAATAGTTGGAGAGTTTGACTGGTGACGTTATCATCTTTTAACAGATATCAAGCAACCATAATCACTTGTACTATTAGTTGCTAAAGTCCACACAAAACAACAAACTGACAGGCGGCCGTCACAAAGTGGCGGAAAATACGGCAGACTGGATGGTGTTAGGAATTGCTTCTTGCTGCGTGTTTGCCCTACAGGGAAGTAACCTCCAAATCCCATTATTTCAGCCCATACATGAGTTACGTTCAAAGATCTTGTCAATAATGCGCTGGTCAACCTACACCATTTCATCTAACACACTTGGACCAAAGGTAAATGCAGCAACCGATAAGGCTTGAATCCACACCTGTACTCTTCTGTGAAAAACTGGAGTCGGTGACAATTCAAACTGTATAAAACCATATGTGAACAATGCAAAATGACTACTTTGCTTGTTAACTTAATTGTTCGGTTATTTAGTTGTTTATAGTTGTTATCATTTTAAAAATATCCCCAACCGCCATCCATATGGATATGATAAGCATGGGAAATTTTATCAACATTTTACAATTGACCATTGACCATAAGTTGTGGAATCATATGGGGATGTGATTATGATGGATTAACGCGTATATACGAGGGAAGAAATAAGTCAGGACACCGGGTACATAGTGTCCGTAAACATATTTTAATTTAATTTCTTAATCTGAAAAATACGAGAAGACGACATTTAGATTATGCAATCTTTTCGTGTTGTCTCTTCAGTACCGATAGCAACAACTGATGAAGAGCGATAGTAAACGGCGAATGTGACCAGAAACAAAATACTTGGAGATCGAGATGGAAGAACACGATTCGGTCTGTATCCATGACATCGTGAAACTAACGAAAGCTGTTTGTGCACGCACATGGTTGGCTGCATCCCGCTAATTGCGATAACCTCAGCGAACCGAAGAACTCGCATATTAGAGTACCGCAGCAAAATGTTGAATGGGATATCGAGCCTGGTCTGGTGACCAATAATCAATAGGTGCTTAAATATAGGGGATGCTGGCAACTGACCCAACGAAAGCGATTGGTGAAGATAGGTTTGTTGGTTTATACCACGCAGGACCTACTTCGGTACGTTTTCCTTCATCTGGAAAGAAATGCTTTATCAGTTCTGCAAACGTAACTGGCTCCGCGGTTATATGCGAACTGGTATACACAATAGGAGCTGGCGCCAATTGGCGGAGCTTCCTTCGGATAAGGTACCGGCAACATGCTGGTTCGTTTGATGATGACGACGACGACGACCTGAGCAGCATAGTAGGTCCTATGCGCCTCAGCGATCAAAGGCTTGGTGTTCATTAACATGACAAACTCATGCTTGATAGGTAATTCGTGATAAACTTTCTTCATGGTTGCGTCCTGTACCAAGTCTTTTGATCTTCGTGGCTGGCTGTGCTTCTCTCTAAACCTTCTAGAGTAACCGTATGGCATCAGTGTGTCTGTATTTCGCTCCAAATCACCAGATAGACTGTCTGCTTAGCATATTCAGCTGGCACGACTAAATAAGATCTTAAACAAATAACTAAAATAATTAAATTATTATTCTCGGACAATGCGACACGCCTATGTAGGCGTGATCTTGTCTGCTTGTACAGTATTGGTGTAAAGCTTGTGAAATGCAAGTACTGACCGGACCATGTTGACTTTTGTAGACGGATCTCATAACCTGTCCGTTATCTCTGCAAATGATGAGGACATCCAAGACTGGTAGAAAATTTTCTCATTCTAGCTCGCAGGTGATGCGCAATTTGGTATGTTAACTGTTGAAGCGCTCAACCAAACGGGCGATAAGCTGCTCTGATGGACAGAAAGCCAAAATACCATCCAAATAGCGCATGTAGTATGACACCTGATCTATTTCCGTGGACATTCTTTTCTCGACCGTGAGCATAAAGAAATCAGCCAGTAAAGGGCCCAGTGGGCTGCTCATTGTGACCCCCTCGCCTTGGCGGTATGGCGTGTTCAGAAAGTAGAAGTCAACATTCCCTGTTCACAGCAGTTAGGCATTCCTTAGTAATTCGGCCGGAATCGGCAATTAACAGCCAGAGTGTTCAGCTAGTTTGCACACATAATCCACCGTCTCATGTAGAGGGACAGTGGTGAAGACGGATTCCACATCCAGGGAACGCATGATCTTGTTTGACAGGTTGATCGCATCGAGGTCGTCCATGAGTAGAAATATATCTTACATAACGGTGCCATCGCGGTGAAACTTTGAATTTATGCCTCGCCGACCTCCAAGACCTTATACTGGTTGCTCTCGATCTAACATCTATCGACTCATGAAACATGCTTAGGTCAGCATAATGCAGAATAATGCTACATTCAGTATACAGTCGTCTTCCTTTGTTTACAGTATTTCCAGATGATTCTCCAATCAGGTCCGAACAGGTTGTGTGCCCCATGCTTTCCAGAAGCTTTGAACAAGTCGCTAGGAATTCCACCTAGTCATTAATGGATTCCGTGGACGTTGTTCCTTCTGGTTCACATGATTTACAGATTTGGAGTCGATGATTGGTAAGGAAAACTTTTCATCTTGTAACATGATTAACGGCGCCTTCGTGTGTTACACACTGAATTGCCGTGCGATTCTCGCACATTGCTCCGCACACTACGTGGATGTTCGATTACCGTTGTTAAGGATAGCGATTACCTGCACGTTGCACTGATTGCAGGGATACGTCACGTGTTGCATACCAGTGATGCCACTGTCATATGGGATTTGCAGCTGCAGCTGCAGCTACGCATAGATGGACTCACCCCGTTTCGCAGTGCGCATAAACTATTGTGGCCTGTCTTAGCTAGACTTAAGGATCCGCCTTCATCCGTTTTCATTGTCGGATTGTATTTCGGCTTGTCGAAACCTGTAGATGTACATGAGTTCATGCGACCAACCATTGCCGAGCTGAGAGATGGCATGCATCCAGCAATCCGTATATGTGGGTAAGCGTCAAATCGGGCTGGGATTGATTTCTAAGCTGTTTGAAAGGTCAAGATCGAGGCTATTTACATCCATCATCTGAAGCCGGAATTATGCGTACACAAACGATTCATACGGCCGATACTACTACCTTGGCCGACTGACATGGTTACTTAACTACCCTTTGTGACCTTAGCTCTTTACTTTAGGCCCTAAAGCTTGTATTAATTTTCTTTGATGCACTTTTCCTACAATCCGTATATCTCCAGAAAGTCCTTTGGTGACACTTACCTTAAGTGCGTGATTGCGGATGCTGCTGCTCGGGCATACATCCGACAAGTAAAGCAGCATCCCGGTTACTACGCATGCGAGAAATGTACCGCTACTGGTTAGTATTCAATTTCATTAACATTTCAAAAATTTCTAATAGGTGTGCATGTAGATGACCACATGACTTTCCCAATGGACACGGCTATCATTGCTAAGGAATGATGAAGATTTCCGTCTGCGTCCTCAAGTAGAACATTATGTTGGTGATTGCCCCTTTGCGGCACTTCGCAATGACATGGTAACCTGCATTCCTCTGGATTACGTGCACATGGTTTGCCTTGGGTTCATAAGGCCATTGATTACTTTGTGGCGCAAGGCTCCCGAACCAACGGAGTTGCGCTTGTCCGCCATGTAGATATCTGATTTGAACACCAGGATAGATCAATGCCGCAAATCACTGACGGGAGATTTTCACAGAAAGTGCCGCAATTTCGTAGATGCAGATCGATGGAAAGCCACAGAGTATCGGCAGTTCCTGTGGTACATAATTGTAATTGTTGGCAACAGACCGTCGGTGACTGTCAACATTCGTAATCCACTGGTGTGCGTGAAAATTTATGCGAGAGTGGGGGCCATCTTCCACAAATTTGTTCCGTCTAATCAGCTGCAGATATACAGAGGTCTCGATTTCATCCCAAGCAAAAGCGCATCTCCATCGATTCAATCCAATGCAAGTGTTGCTCTTCTCCGGAAACGGAGGAGGTAATAGTGTTCTATCTAATTGCTCACACTTGGGATGGATCAGCGGCTCGCAACGTAAGTTGCATTACATACTAGCTGATGTCATAATGTCTTATTACAGACTTCAGGGCTATGCCTTGGCGTGCACCTGAGTGTGTATGTTGCACGCAATACACAGATGGTGAATCGCAGAATGACGCGCTTCATTACTCTGCGGTACCAGTAGAGGACTGAGTGGCAATATATTAGAGTTCCGCAATGATGCCATAAAAATTCCGTGGTAAGTACTATTTCCGTAGGTATTTTAAGTCAAGATATGCAGGTATGGTCTCTAATGACCACCTGAATTTCAGTGGACACTACTATACATATACAAGGGAGGAGATCGTCAGGATCCTGTGAACTACCAGTCGATCTGTCCGACAACGATAATTTGTAAAATCATGGAAAGAATTTTTAAGAGAGCCCTAGACCTTCACCTAGGGAATCTGCATATCATCTCATGCGCACAACATGGTTTTCGGAAGGCACGTTCCTTTCTCGCTAACTTGCTTGTTACCAGCGATAAACGGGCGAGATGGCTGGATGTCGGTAATCTTCTGGGTGTCGTTTTCATCGACTTCAGTAAGGCATTTGACAAAGTTCCTCATAGACGTCTCTTTCTTAACCTCACGGAAATCGGCGTTTCTGGGAAGATTCAATTCTGGGTCGCTGAATTTCGGAATTGCCGAAGCATGAAGGGAAAGTGAACGATACCTACTGCAGTCCTGTTTTCATGATCAGCGAGGTCACGCC